TAACCCCTCCAAATTGCAGCAATGTCTATTTTAATTTGATTAATTGTTCAACCCTTCCAGGAGCTGAAAGAAATAAGATGGTTCCTAGTTTATGTACACATACGCCCCTTGTACTTTCTTGAAAAACTCCAAAAGTTGTCTCGTTCAAGTCATCATTCCTATGATTTAGGTTTCCCATTGAGCTGGACTTGAGGTAGAACCAGAGCCGGCGCCCGACCCTTCCCTGTCCTTGTCTCGATATGTCACAAATCAGTGGGGGAATCGGAGGCAAAACTGACACAAATCAACAATCTCCCAAAACCTTGACTCAATCGTTGTCATCCATGACAGATTTAATCCAGATGGGTACGATGTCGTTTGTTGTCATTTCTCCGCCAGTCGGAAAAAAATAAATTAAAAGCGCACAGGGCTACCTGAGGATGACGTCCTCCAGAGCGGCGTGGAAAAGTCGAGACTCTAACGGTCCCGGTCAAGAAGTCTCGTCGGTTCCACGACCATTTTCTGTTGAAATGCAAGCGGTTCAATTTGAGGAGGCGTCCGATGGGAAGTGATTTGCTTCGTGTGGAGTATCAACGGCTAATTAATGGGATTTGCCCGACCCGTTCTCGTTTTAACTCCTCGGATTGTAGCACGCGAGCCGAGATGCATTTGAATGTCGCAATTAGCCCGGACGCAGCGCGAGCAAATCCGCCGCTTAGTCATCATAATCGTTTTGCATAAGAAACAACACTGCTTGCGCGTTCTCCTTTGCACTTAGAATCCAGCCAAGAGGAAATCTTTTGATTGAATGTTTCAGTCCAACTTTTTGGTGCCCTTTGAAGGACGGTGACCATTTTGCAAGACAATGCGGGGCCATCTCGGCAAAAAGCGACGACTTCCCCGAGTGAATGAAGCTGGGACAAAGGCTGCTTTGGCAGGCCTTGATGTCTTTGTGCCACCCCCCCCCTAACACCCGCCCCGCCCCTCAATCCCTCGGTGCGGGCCGCCATCCGTACTTCCTGCACCCGCTTCCCGCCGCTTGGCGTAAGAAAATGTTGCCAACAAAGCACCGGTTTTAACTGTCCAACTCATCGTCCCGGCGGCACAGATGTTGCTTTGCTTTGGACCGGAGTCACCCAAATCTTGGATGTAGACACTCGTAAAGACATGGAAGTTCAGAGTTGGTCAAAACAATGCTCGTTCGCACGCGAGAAAAACAAAAAGATCAAAATCCTGTTATGATCATGCCTGGTGGCCAGTGGGTGACGTCCACCACAAAATCGCAAATCTCAGAAATGTTTCAAAATTGCTCAAAATTTCCCATCAGAGCCAGCAGCTGGTTTCCGCTTTGACGTTCGCACAGCGAGAGAAGAACAGAGAACTCGCGACTCATTTTGTCAGAAAGAGGTACTTTTATTGTTGTTCCTTTTTTCTTTTATTTTGAAAATTTATACATTTCGTAGACATTTCACAGATCCGATCGGCCGGACGGGATCAGCGGCTATTTTGCATTTGATGCTAAATCGGTTGGAATGTCATCATTTGCCGATCGATCAATGATGTCATTGATCTGGATATGCAAAATATAGACATTACAGCAAACACAATCGTTTTTATCGGTAATTAGATTCTTAACGATAAGGTTCTCATCATATACAATCGGATTTTTTTCCCCCCTAATTTTCCCCCCAGTATTTTTAGACAATTTTGTTTTTTCATGGGGGGGGGCGTCGGGTGCCCCATCCCGTCGCCGTCCTATAAATAGTGACAATTGCTTACAAACCAACATCACGCGAGAAGTGAGTGTCTCGGGTTAAAGCTAACATTTAAAAAAAAAAAAAAAAAAAGGCGGGGGCGGGTGTCAGAATGAAGTCATCATTTCCCACAAAAGACTTTCTCAATTTTAACCCTTCCATGCACCCTGTCATTTGATCACATGATAAGCTGTCCACTCTAGTAACTGCTGTCCCTCAAAGGTTTAACCACAGTTCCGTCATGGCTAAACTACAGTTCACCATCACTATTTTGGGAACTTCGGCCAGTTCGTCACTCCTCCTCATTATCATCATCATCATCATCATCGTTATTTTAACCCTTTTATGCTCCCTGTAACCTGATAACATGATAAGTTGCGGCTGTTCTTGAAAGGGTTCATTAATATTGTAATAGTGTGAATCTTCAACTTCATCTCACCATAAGTTATTTAACAACAGCAAAAAAAAAAAACATTTTTTCCAGACCACGTGTGGCATCAATTGTTATGTTTCTGACTAGCTAGTAGCTTACGC